CCTCTTAAACAGTTCAAAATCAGAGTCACTTTAAGGACTGAGGTATGTCTGCTACAGGTCATGGTATTTGAAAGACCTAATCTGCAGTAAAATCTGGACCATGAATGAGGAAGACTAGAGAAGAATGTATGCCTTTGAATTATGGTGTTGGAGAAGAACATGGAATGTGCATGGCCTGTCAGAATAACAACCAAATAGCACAGCAAGAATGCTCCTTAGACGCGAGTACGAAGACATTCTGTCTCCGTTGCTTTGGACAGGAGAAGTCTCTGGAGAAGGACATCGTGCTGGATAAGATAGAGGGGCCGTGAAAAAGAGAAGCCCTCTGGGGGATGGGTGGACACAGTGGCTGCAACAATGGGCTCAAACGTAACAGCAATTCTGGGGATGGCACGGGACAGGGCAGTATTTTGTTTCTATGAGTAGAAGTCTAACAACCACCACAAATCTAGAATAGGTCAATCAACGGAGACAGAAAGCAAATGGGGAGTTGCCAGAAGCTGAGACGACAGAGATGGGAGCAAGTGCTTAAGAGGTAAGGGGTTTTTACTTGGGGGTGAGGGAAATGTTTTGAAACTAGATAACTAAGGTAGATGGTGAAGGTACTATATGCCTAGGAATTGTTTGCTCTAAAATGTTTTTTCTAATGTATGAATTTCTTCCCATTGGAAAAAAATTTTTTTAATTCAACAGCAAATATAGTTAAGGGAGAAATATTAAAAGCATAGCATTTACTGAATATCATAAAGATGTTAATAATTCTCAAATTAATCAGCAAATTTATTCCAATACGAATCAAATTCCCAAAAGGATTTTGTTTTATGAGTTTAAAAAAAGAAAAAAGTGTGTAGAACAGAAGCTTTCCCTAAACTGACATGAAAAATCTAAATGCTAAAAACAGCCCAGACAACCTTCATGAGCAGTAAGTTGGAAGAGCATGTGCCTTCTCGGATATTCAGGTTAAGTGTGACGCGATCACTGTTGAAGAGGTATCAAGTCAACAGAGAATGTATGGAAAGATGACCCATGAACGGTGACATTACAAACTAAAATGAGAAGTGACAGATATTCAAAACTGGCACTAGGACAACTAATTACCTATTTGAAAAAATACAATGTGTCCTACTTTAGGCTATAAAATATGTTCCAAATAAGCAAAAACTTTCCTTGACAGCCTCCAGGAAACAAAAGTGGAGAATACTTTTATCATCTTGGGGGCTGGAACAACTTTTTAAAGCAGAAAAGGCACAAATCATAAAAGAGTGGAGATTGGTAGATTCCACTACATTTGATTTAAAATGTTTACACTGGGAAATTAGTTTCAATACATAAAATCAATAAAAGGATTTAAAACCCGCTCACAGCAACCCTATCAGACAGCGTAGACTGTCCCCAGGATTCCCAAGACTGTATGTAATGTGTGTAGACGCGGACAGCCACACCGTTCTCCTGCAGGGTGGTCGGGTGGGTGGAACCGCAGACCCAAGTACTTAACAGTAGCAGTCAAGTACTTAACAACTGTGCCACCAGGTCAATAAAGAGACTCATCAATAATACATTCATTTCCACAAGTCAATAAAGAAAAAGGAAAATGGGCCAATGAAAAAAATAGACAAGGAATATGAACACATAACACTGGCCAGCACACATTTTGCTGCCTCAACGATGAGATGTTTCTGGGTGTATTTGGTGTGCTGATGCCAAAAAACGGCACCAATCCCTCACCCCTGCCCCACCTCCACCCCCAGCTCCAGTTTCTGAGACACAGAGCATACACCATATACTGCCCTTGACTCTGCTCACCCACAGAAAACTATCGGGGTATTTTAATGTCGTGTTAGCTAGCCTGAATGACAGGAAATGCATGCTGGCTTTATTGAAAGTCGTTTGCACTGTACTAAATATTTAGCTCAAATTATATTTCAGCTGGTGCCCTTTGATCCAAAGACATATTTGAATGGTGCTAATTACATGATTCTTGGGGAATTTTCCCCAAGTATCACTTCACTTTTATTAGGAACTGAGTAGCAGGCAGTTCCAATTTGCTATCTTAAAATGGGGCCTGAAATAAGAGCTGCTGTACAATAAGAAGGGAGCCCTGATGGCGCAGTGGGGTATATGTCTGACTGCTAACTACAAGGTCAGCTGTTTGAGCCCAGCAGCTGCTCTGCTCCCATAATGACTTCCCGTCTCAGAAATCCACAGAAGTTCCATTCTGTCTTACTGGGTCTCAGTGGGTCATCATCGACTGCCTGGCCGGGAGTTTGGTACCATAAATAGAGATTTACATGTTTTCAAACCTAAAATGAGTCTGTCAGAGTTCAAACTCCTTTATTAAGGTTAACATGCTGCAGGCTTGCTAGAAGATGGCACAACTTCTCCACCTGTGCACAGAAACTCTTAAAAGTTCTAATTTGTCTTCTAAAGAAGCTTGGAGTCAACCTCACCTCTGAAACATTTCATACGAATTGTCTATTGATTTCTATACATTAAAAAGTGTTCTGAAATGTTTACTGCATAATTTGAAGGAGACAAGTTTAGGTCTTCAAAGTATTTATGAAATTTGCTATGAAGTCTTATAGTTTCGACACTTTAAATCACACTCAGACCTTCCATGTATGTGCCCTTTCATTGTTCTTTTTTATTTTCCACCTTTCTCAAGCTGCGTTTGGCTTTGCAGAACTCATCTTGTAGTCTCTGTATATATTATACAACCTTCCATATTAAAAATAAAACTCTGCAGATTCTAACCCACAGTGACCCTAAAGAACAGAAAAGAACTGACCCTTTGGAATTTCAAACCTTTAAATCTTTTAAAGGCTGCAGAGTGACTGGTGGGTTCAAATGACTGGCCCCCTCATGATTGGCAGCTCCGTGTGTAACCAGCTAGCCACCGTGGGTCCACACAGTGTGCTTGGACACCCCTTAATGCCTAATTCTTGTCCAAATATTTCTGTTTTCCCTTATGCTGTAACTTGTGGATCTGAGTTCTTCTCATATTTAAAACTAGAATGATAAATGAATAAATTAGTGTAACATAATAGCTAAAAATATCTATCCAACATACTTTTCTGAATCAGCACACAAATGACCTCAAAGAGGCCTAAAAACTACACCAAGAAAAAAAAGTTTGTGTAATTCACAGAGAAAGTAATTGTGATAGTTGTGTATTTTGTGCCAACATGGCACCTGTAAGAAGATATGGGTGGAGTTTAGCCTGTCAATGATATCGCAGCATGATGACCTCCTCTGGAGGTGCGACCTATGGAGGCTGGCCTCTCTCGCTCTCTGCCTTCACCTTCCTGTTGGCAAGCCACGCTGAGACCATGTAATGCTGCCACCACCACTGGATCCACAAGACTTTGCACCCACTGGCTTGTGATCTTCCTGCATTCTACATCATTGCATGTGGCTGTGTGAGTCTGAAGAGGAATTTATACACTCGTATTGGACTTATGGACTTGATCTGAACTGGGCTGGAATGTTTGTTTGATATATGAGTACAATTACTTCTTAATATAAAGCTCTCTCTTACACGTATATTAATCTCATGAAATTTATTTCTCTAGTCAACCTAGCCTAACACAGTAAGTAAATCTCCCCTCACTGCCCATCTGTAAATAGCTGCTTAACATCAGTAGGATTGGGAGAAATTCATTTTAAAATAATCCAAATTCAAACCTTTCAGATTAGCCAGCATTTAAAGGTCTAGTAATACCAGTAACTGATGAGTCTATGGGGCAGGGGAAACTGTCATAGAGTGCTAATGGGGCTATACATTGAAGTCTCATTTTTGAGGCCAACTTATTAATATTTACTAAAATAAAGGTGCTCATAGTTTCCAACTCAGCATTCTACTGCTAGGTGCATATGTTAGAGAAAACTCTAGCACATGTTCCCCCCCAAAAATATGTATTTCACTGCCCATTGTCTAATAAAAAAATGCAACTAGCAGTTAATCAAGAAGGGAATGGATAAGTAAATTTGACTTCATTGAATAATAGACTATCAACTGCAGTTAAAATGAATGAATGCAAAATACATGTATCAACATAGAAAGCAGATAAAAGAATAAAAAAATGTTAAGTGATAGAAGCAAGCTGTAATATGGAAATTAGTAATAGTCATGTAATTGGTAATGATCTCATACACTTAATTAGTATGTTTTCCATTCCTCCAAATAGATGGCGTTGCATTTGTGAGAAAATGAAATGTGTAGGCTTGAAAACAGAGCAAAACAAAGCCTCTCAGGAAACAGCTGTTGGTCTTGCTGGGAGTCACGGCACCATAGACCGAAGTGTTCTGGCCTCTCCCGGTGACATTTCCCTATGCATCATTTTTTAAACTCCTTATTCTGAACCTCTCTCTGGGGTACGCTTTTCCATGACCTGCAACCTCCAGTGTTCAATCCCTTTTCACAGCAGATAAAATAGCATATCCCAAATTCATTCGACAGTCAGGTTTTTCTAGTACAAATAAAAGGTGCAACTTAAAATTTCTCATGAGTGAATAAGGACATTCATTTCTCTCTCTCTCTCTCTCTCTCTCTCTCTCTCTCTGCTTCAATCACACGCGCTCACACACATACATCTCATGTAAGTTCAAATGAATTGTAATAATAGACTTAAAAGAGAAAATGAGCCACAAAAGGTCAGCCTGGAGCGCGAAGGCCAACTGGAGAGCGCCCGTCATGACGTCTGCATGGTGACGCATGAGGCTGAGGAGCTGATTGTACACAGAGGAGCCCCTCCTTTTTACAAGCTCTGTGCACTTCCGTTAATTTACACTCCTTGCTTTTGTCCCTCTCCTGGGGCACTCTCCAGCCGAGTCCCTGTGGAGTTATTAATGTCTGAAGGGCTGACATACTGTTCCTCAGTCCTGGCTGCATTTCAAGGCCACGGAATCAGGATTTGCCCAGCTGACCTTTGGTCTTAGCTACTAAGAATTAGGACTGAGCAAACCCACCAGTCTGCCAACTATGCCACGCAGAGTTGTCTTACCTCCTCTGTCTTCAAAACGTCCCATATTCGGGCATGGTCTTCCACCAGCCAGGGTCCAGTGCTGTCTACCTTGGTAGCAAGCTTGAGTTTAGACACCACTTGAGCCGTCTCTCCCGCAGTCTTCCCCTCCATCTTGAAAGAGCGAGGCAGAAGGCATTACGGGTCTGTGTGGAAGAACAAAGTGTGGCCCAAGTTAAAGTATTAAATGACGTTAAAGAGGGTGTGAAAGCAAAGCATCACGTCTGCTATGTGGACAATGAGACTTCTGAAGGCAATGGTCATTGAAGGCCCCCTTTCCTATTCTAAATGTTCATGACTGGTTTTTGACACAGACTTCTGGATGACAAGATTCTGTTATTTTCATCGCATAAGTAGTGGTACAACTTCTAAAGCAAAGTGAAAAGCAGCCTCTGCCGGTTACACCTGCTCACTGCTTTGCTCTCACTCCCTCGAGGGGAGAAATGGAAACGGACGGCTCTAAGGCATGCCTGGGGGATGGCTTCACATGTCCGTGCCATGGGCTGTAGGCCCTGTGTGTTTGGCAGGATTGACCACAGAAACAAATCCAGAAACACTCAGGTGTATAACAGAGGGCTTTATATATCAAAGAGTAGTTGCATATTAAGAAAATATCCCAACCCAGTCCAGATCAAGTCCATACGTCTGATATTAGCCCCTAAGTCCAATACAAGTTCATAAATCCTTTTTATGACTCGTGCAGTCACATGCAATGTTGCAAGATACAGGAAGATCACAGGCTGGTGGGTGCAAAGTCTCGTGGATCCAATGGCAGTGGAAGCATCTCAGCACTGCCGAGGGTCTCCACATCACTCCTCAAAAGCAAAGTGAAGCAGAAAGAGGCTCTCACATGTCGACAGGAAAATGAAGGCACACAGAGAGGAAGTTCCCAGAATCCTCATGAGAAGGCCATGCCCACAAGGAAGCATCATCAGGCTGTGACCTAATTGACAGGCTAGACTCCACCCCTTCACTCTTAATATCCTCAAGTTGACATTAGATTATGTCACCATGGAAGAAGTAATGGTTATGAAATCAGGAGGAGTTCATTTCTTGGCACGCCATTCATCTATTGGGCACTGTTGATACCAGGCTCTATGCCAGCGGTTCTCAACCTGTGGGTCATGACCCCTTTAAGTGTAGAGCGACCCATTCACTGGGGTCACCCAATTCACAGCAGTAGAAAAATTACAGTTATGAAATAGCAACGAACATAATTTTATGGTTGGGGGGTCACCACCACATGAGGAAGTGTAGCATTTGGAAGGTTGAGAATCACTGCTCTATGCGGATGTCATACAACCAATATGGTTTTCAATTTCAAGATGGTTAGAGCCTCAGGGTAGAAAAGATTGTAAGCAAGTAATGACAATACAATTAATTACAATAAAGCAGATGGATGCCATAATAATGATGTCTCCAAACTGCAACTGAGGCACAGGGGGAAATGTCCTTTGACATTTATTGGCTGAGTTACTTCCCTAGGCATTGATTTAATCAAAAATTACTGGGAAGGTAACATTTAAAAAATAATATAATTCTAGTGTATACCTCCTTGACCTCTTTCTCATTCCTTCTACCATGACTTGTCCATCTTGTGCCTAAATCAGCACCATCCTCTCCTAAGGAGTCTCCCCACCATAGTATTAGTCTTCTCAAAGTTACCCTTATCAGGATAAAATCAGGCAATGATGTTCTGTAGACTTAAAACTTTTTCTAGGGATTAAATATATTTTAACTCCTTAACATGGCATCTAAAGTCTTTTGTGTCTGGCTTCTTCCACTTCCTTTCTCCCATTCTGCCTCCTTAGCCATTCTGTTTAATTGATAACACGGATGGTCCCAGCACACCCTGCTCAGGAACCATTAGCCTTTGTGATACTTTCTTCCACCCCTAGGGACTAGATATCCCCCCCACCCCACCCCCCTCCCCGCCCTTGGGTACTCTATCCATGTAGTCTGGACATACTTTTATCATATCACTTGCAGTAATTTATTATATTTCTTGCTCTCAACTCTACCTTCAACTTTATAAGGTCCTTAAAACCAGAGACAGCGTCATTTGAATGAGGTCAGTCAAAAAGTATTACTACTATGGTTCCAATCGAAATAGTGGCTTCCAAAGGGTTCTACTGGACCAGTTAAACTCAAGGCAGAGAAGTCAGCTCAGAAGGTTATGTCAACTCTGTGTGTGTGTGTGTGTGTGTGTGTGTGTGTGTGTGTGTGTGAGAGAGAGAGAGAGAGAGAGAGAGAGAGAGAGAGAGAGATCCCAAATGTGAGCAAGGTCATCCGTGTCTCTGAAATGCACATGCAGAGACTAGTATGGCGGTACGATTCTGCAGGGCACATTCTCAACAGCAACCAAAAAGAACTTTTAAAAGTACAGGGAAGTGGGGCTGGATAAAAAAGGACAGGGAGATAATAAACCAATCCCCACAGGGGACCCTTCTCTGCCTTGGGGCCTCAGGGGAGAGCAAGGCCATCTCTGTGCCCAGAGCAGCAGTGATGAAATTGCTAATCAAACCCACAGCGACGTAGAGTTCTTGGGAACCTGAAGTGCATCCTACACTTGCATTGAGCACCAAGGGGCAGAATCTCTACTGCTAATGAACCCAGTTCTTCTGCGTGGACGTGCTAACAAATGACACTGACACGTACAAGCACGGACTACACAGAGGAGAATATGTGGCGACTTCAGTCCCGCTCAAAAAGTCAATTAAAACAAACAGGCAACATGGAAACAGGCCAGAGGAGTAGGAAAGGAAATTCCATTGTTGTTATTGGAGCTAATGCTGTAAACAACAAGTAACTCAAAACAAAGTGGAAAAACAGCATCAAATTGTTTTTGGCTCTGTCCTTGTATATCACGGAAAAGCAACTGGATAACACAGACAAGCTAGAAACATCCCAGGCAGACAGTGGAACATCTGTAAGTCCAATATGTCTCTGTGGCCCACTGGTCTCTCTCTACTGTCTGCCCACAGCCCATTTTTCATCTCAGTGTGGGTGAAAACTGGCAAATTCTCAGAGTTGGAGACTGAACTACAGCATGTACTGACTTCCCACAGATTGCTCCTAGCCCCGGTTAGGAGGAAGATGCAATTCATTCCAAAGCACTCGGGAACCAGGGAAGGGCACGGAGAGGCAGCGGCTCTCAGGAGACTCTTCATACATTCTGCCCTAGCTGAGATGTACTCATCTTCAGTAAAACTCCTCCTTCATGCAAACGGACCATGTACGCAACCTACATTGGGCTTCTGTTTCATGCCAGTCAGAGTGCTGGGTATTTTTCACATTCTTGAATCCTATACCTCAGGGCAGACACCACCATTCTACAGCTAGCTAAGGTGAGGTTCAGAGACACCAAGAGACTTTCCAGCTAGAACGGTGCAGTGGCAACGTTCATGCTCTCTCTCCAAGGGCGGTCCAGAAGACCCCTCCAGGCCCCCTCTTCCACCACTGGTAGGATGAGACCTCCCTCTGGCATCCCTCCCTCGTGGAGAGAAGCTAGCGCATGTCCCTAAGTGGAACTCTTTGAGAGATGCATGAAGCAGATGGTAGTTAAAGGGTGACAAGCGGCAGGGAAAGCAAGCAAACTAGCATCCTTCTTTTTCATTTTACTCCCATCTCAGCTTTTGGCCATGGCAGGGTTTGTGGGCCTGTGCCCTATGTAGTCATACAGCCTCCAAGAAGGGGCTTGTGCTTGATTAAATGCTTGCGAACATGCTCTTAAAACTTTAAACAATTTCCGTTTTCACTGATTCCCCCAAGTTTATAAAGGTAGCCTTCCTAAATGACCCTGGAGAAGGACATCATGCTTGCTAAAGTAGAGGGACAGCAAAAAAGAGGAAGGCCCGTGACAAGATGGATTGACCTGGGGCCACAACGATGGGTTCACACATAGGAACAACTGTGAGGCTGGAGCAGGACGGGGCAGGGCTTCGCTTGTCTCACACAGGATCGTTGTGAGTCGGAATCAATGCGATGACACCTAGCAAGAACAAGTACTACTCGTTTTTCCTTCTTAAACAAAACAACATTTCTACTCCACCTTTTTGCTTTTCATTTCATGCGATAGGCTTCCCATCCATTTCCATAAAAAGAGCTAGAAGCTTATCTGGTGGAACCATCTTTTTGTTACGTTTAAATTAGAAGCATATGGAGACCTTCCCAGACCTCCAGCATGCTGCACATCTTACAGCTGAAGTGCTGCCTTCTTGTCTCGTAACATATAGTCAAAGCTTACAACCGCTAGTCAACAGTGCCTTCAACAGACTGAAACCACTGTAAACCTCAGAGGCAGAATCTTTAGGGCTACTTATAATTCTCCTAACACAGCATAAGATAAGCAAGTGCTTTTGGAAATCAGTTTTGAACTATCATCCTAAAATATCTGATGCCCAAAGATTTTTTTTTTCCCCGACCACTGGGTGGTAAGGTCAGTTGAGTGCACGGTGGGAAACGGAAGTCATTTGTATATGAAAGCAAATATCTGATAAAATTGAAGCAAAGGGTTTGTTTTTTGTTTTGTTTTGTTTGCAAATTTGAAAAAAGAACATTTGGAGGAATTTTTTTCTCATTGTAAACGGGTTGTCAATTGTACCTCATCGCTACTGTATGAAGCAAAGCAGTAAAATAATAACAGGGAAGATGTGCTAGCCTGGGTAGACTAGAGCAGCAAATTTCAAGGACACTCATATTTTATAAGAGAGAGTTTTATATAAAGGGTAACTTTACATTAAGAAAGCATCCCAACCCAGTGCTGTCCAGGCCCATAAGTCCGCCATTAGCCCATATGTACGACACCGATCTACAAAGTCCTCCTCAATCTCACAAAACACACGCAATGATGCCGACTGCAAGAGGAAAGCCGAGTCAGTGAACATGTAAGAATCTCAGCGCTGGCAAGGGTCTCCACACGGCTGCTCCAGCACCCAGGGCTGTATCAGGGTAGGTCCATGTGGCTTCTCCTCAGGGATATCTCGCAAGAAGTGAGCCTTGCAAGCTGAAGCAGGGAACTGGCTAAGGCAACTGCACCCTGGTCCGACCATCAGAGAGCAAGAGACCTGAAAGGCAAGGCTCACTAAGCCGTTTATCTCTCCACCCTTCAATTAGTCCCACATGTGTTCATTGTCCAGGTTGGCAC